TGCATAATCCTAGCTTCTGCCTCTCTGGAGCTCGAGCGGCTTATATGAAAGTCATCCATCATGTGTATTCTGGTAAAGAAAAGGTTGGGAAGTGCTGTGACAGATGGGAACTGGACATCACCTCTACCTCTGGTTCATGTTCATCAATCCTCAAGTCCAGGCTTGAAACTGGTGATTGCACCTAATGTCACCTTTGACATTATCTCCCTAAGGCCTTTATTTGAGATCCTGTGTACTGTATTTTTAATTGCATACATTACAGTATTCCTAGATTATTGTGTTTATGACAGAAACAAAGAAAATTTCTTTGCCGGATGATAATAAACACAGTCTTTACCTGATTCTTGAATAAATACACTTAACCTGTACTACTTAGTCATGTTGACCTCACTGGCAAGTCAAGGCAATTAAATGGGAGCCCAAGATTTATTAAGCACATACGATGTTTCAAGTACTACATAAGACAATGGAGTATACTTTTGTTCTTGGCAAACAAGACAAATATAAGAACCCATGCCCTGATAAAGTTTATAGTCATTCCGTGTTGGACTCAATCCAACCCTTTTTTCAGCCCACCATCTTTTTCTCCATCCCTCTTTCCTTCTTTAAAAATTAGAGACCATGTAATATACATGTAATGTACAACATGATGACTACAGCTAACCCTGCCATATGATATAAGGTAGCTTGTTAAGATTGTAAATCTTAAGAGTTCTTATCACAAGGAGAATTTTTTCCCCTTTATTCTTCTTTCTTTTCTTCTCGCCATGTCTATATGAGAAGATGGATGTTAGCTGAAACTACTGCGGTAATCATTTCACAATAGCTGTAAATCAAACCATCATGCTGTACACCTTAAACTTACAAAGTGAGGTATGTCAATTATTTCTCAATTAAACAGGGAGGAAGAAATAGAAACCAGTCTTACCTCGACCTTTGCCAATCTCTGGCTCTCAATGAGAGTCTGCTACCTCCTTTTATTTTTTTACTCACTGACCTATTTCTACCCCTTCCACGCTTCTGAACGTCTGTGGTTATTGTGCATGTTTGTGGGTTTTCTCTTTCCTTTAACCCTCTTTAACAAATTCAACACACATTTATGGAGCACCTAGGATGTGCAAATCCGTGTGCTAAGCTCAGGGAGATCACTAGATATATAAGACTCAGTTCCTTCAAGATGTTTGTGCTCTAGTTCAGTATATAACTAGTCTTTCACCCACATGAGGTGAGAATGACCTACTGTGGTGAATGCAGAAAAAAGAGATTTTTTTTTTTTTGTAATCGAGGAGGGAGGTGGCGGGGAGGGCAGGGGCAGATCGGAGGATTCACAGTTGCTCATGGCCTGTCTTCTATTCCAGTAAGTATAGCCACCTCATTCCCAGCTAAAAGGTTTTGCCAGTGACTCAGTCTTTCCAATACTGAGCCCTTTCCCCATACAGGATTGCCTTAGCAAATGTAGAAGCTTGCCTTCCATCCTTCCATAGAGTGAAGACTGTTGGTACCTGGGGGCTGGCTATCTGACCTGCTTAGCCTCTGATTTTCAGCCCCTGTTTTGCTCAGTGAAAAATAGTGACATACTGAGCTAGCAAAAAGAAGAGAATCTCATGTAAAGAAAGTGATTGTTATTGTTTCTTCACATATCAACACCATGCAACCTTGTCATGTTTAAGCTTGAAGGTTAGCAATCATTATTGCATGCATCTGCACCTGTGTGATTGGAAACCACATAACTGAGAGAGTTCCTATGAGTTTTCCCAGGAAAAGCTGAAGCTTTTGGCCTCCAGAAATGAGCCTAATCAAGAATAAAATAGGAAAAAGAGTAAACCGTAAAAAATGTGGAAAAAAACCCAAAATTTTAAAAGTAAAGATATTTTCATGATCACCTCCTCAAAGAGGTATATAAAGAAAGCAAATACAGACTCGTTCCTTCTTTTGTAGGTAAACATGGTTCCTGAGTGAGATGTTTCAATTGAAAGTATTTTTAAGAAAATTAGTAATACATACAAATAAAACTCATGAGGTCACCTGCAAAATGAGGGGTCTGGAAGTACCGATACATTTGCTGTTTGGGTCCTTGTTTTCATCATAGTCTCTGGAGGAAGTTGCCCCTGGATTTCTCAGGGTTGGCCGGTAACATGCAACACCGGCCACCATGATAAGCATTTCTTAGGCCTCAGAATGGACTGGTTTTTGTGCTTTCCTACAAACACTAAATTTCACCCAAATATACAAAAGGGAAACTCAAGATCAACAAAGCTAAAATTTCAGCTCCTTATTCTTTCTATATCCTAACAAGTTAATGAGGAGGGCTTTATTTTTTTCCTGTTTAAAAATCATTCTTTTGTGTGTGTCTGTGTGTCTCTGTCAGGGTGTCTGCACGCACACACGCACACAATATTCACCAGCCCTTAGAAGTTGCTCTGGCAGAAGTCTATAGGAAATGCTCAGTTTTGAGGAAAAAGTTATTATAAACAACCGCAGCGCCCCCCCATCAAAGAAGGAAAATTCTTCTAGCACTCTTTGAACCTTAAACAGTGTTTTTATAGGCCAGTTCATTGTTTTTCTTCACTATGAAAAATTAAAAACAATAACTGTTTTGATGAGTTCTCCGGGAAAAGACAGTTTCCATGATTTCATTTCTTGACAAAGAACAGCTACCTCACTTGGTTTCTGCCACATGTAAGCAAACTCCCAGCCATAAAACCTCCCGTCAGAGGAAGGGATATGGGTCCACAGAACTTTCAAGAGTTCTTCCCCATCTGCCCAGGGGAAGAAGCCTGCCCACCCCTTGCTGGGAGAGGTGGATGAGTCACAGGGGTGAGGTGTGGGAGAAGAGATAACAACTGCCCCCCTGCCCACCGCTGTGCTGTCACAGCCACATTCAGGGTGGATTCTGCCCCGTCACCACTTGATCTGGGTTGTCTCTTCAAAAATAAAAAAATAAAATAAAAAAACAAGGTGTGCCTGTCTTTTATAATGTTCTGTTTTAAAGGAGAGAAATCTCCGTGGAGAGCACAGGACCCTAAAAGTCCAAGGCCTGGAATTCCTCCTTTCTCTCTTTCCATTTTAAACAGGAAACAATCCCGCTAAGAGGGTCCGGAGGGAGCATTGGTTGTATGTTCATTTTAAGGCAGATAATGTTTGTGTGTTGCAAATGTCAGTGATTTATCCCAAGGGCTTAAAATGAGTGCAGAAAAACCACATGTTTCACTTCATGCAGAGAAATAGCTTCAGTAGGTTTCGAGAGAAAGCACAGGTTTAGGATATTTTTTTAAGTGTTTCGGAAATCTCTAACATGAACCAAAAGGAAATAGAAATGAGGCGGGGGGCTTAAAATATTTTACGACAAAAGATATAATGAATGCTGGAAGTTTTCTAAGTCAAAAATAAAATTCTAAAGGAAAGGGAAGATGTAACCCTGATCCTTTATTTCCCAGGGCTGGAGTGACAGATTATGCATTTGTGCTGTATTTGTCATGGGCAATTTAAAATAGACCAAAGCAAACTGCACTGAATAATAGCAGTTGATGCTATAATAACTTGTACACAAACAATTTAATTTTTTTATCTGAAAACTCTAACTAAATTACCCCAAGCTCAAGGATCTTTCATTATTATACATAGCCAAATTAAGACATCAAAAAGGAGAGAGTGCTATTGTTCATCATTATGAATGTGTTCACATGCTACTTTCCACATGCACCGGAGCTTGGAGCCTGTCAAACCTTCATTGATTTGGGGAACTTACAGAGCTGTTTTAACACCAAACTCTGCAGATTACAGGGTGATTCTGACCCTCATTGACAGTGCTTGATTAACCGCAGACACTGTATTCTTACAGCTCTGTCATTTCTTTCAAGTGTTCTCCCAATTTGTACTCTGACATTGAAGAGCTTTTCATTAATTATTATTGTTGCTTTTTTTTTCTTTAAAAAAATTATAAAAGGGAGAGTAGTAGAAAATGGGAAGGATCCGGCAAATATGCACACAGAAGGTTTATGGGATTTTAAGAGCTGCAAACAGAACTCATCTGTTTAACCCCAGGCTAGATAAGATGCAGTCATCTGTACGTTGTTTAAAGACGTATTGCTTCTGTTATAGCAAACAGATCAGAGGATGCTTGTTGTCTTAGTAGAGAGATCCAGACAGGGTCACTTTCTGTGAGTGTTTCTTCTTGCCCTGGGCCGTTCTGTGTGCCTACTCATTACACAGTGCAGCTTCCAGCTGCCTCGGCTCTTCCCTCTCTGCTCCTGGCCTGGTGGTGCTTCTTGGCTTGCTGATAGAATTGCTTTAGATCAAGTCCTAGGTGGATAATTCCCAGCTCTGGGTTACGACTTTTTCTAGGAACTGTAGAGAGGGCAGGGCACCTGGGGAATGTGACAGAAGCTAACCAGAGTTAGACCAAGACCGTGGCCCATGTCAGCAGCACCCCACAGACGGAGCAGAGAAGTGAGGACAGTCCACGGGACCTTTATAACTCTGAATAACCTGTACACTTCTACCACCATGTCTATGACAGGCTTCCGTCATCGTAGGGAAGAGTAGAGCAGGGGTCAAATCATCCCAGCTTTAGGAAAGCCCAAGTCTGCCTTCTTTAGAAAACCAGTTTAGCCACTATACCGAAGGCCAACGCACGGTGGTATAAACTAGGTAGAAGTAGATTTCTCTCTCCAGCACCAATCAGTATAAGCAGTCCTGGCTGACAGGTGGCTCCATGGTGTCAAGGACTTGGGCCCTTGCCCTCTTGTTGTTCGACCTTCCTCAGCATGTGGCTTCCTCTGTGCGGTTTAAAATGGCTACTCCGATGGCCAACAGGAAGGAGAGGGGAAGAAGAAAAATCACCCTCTTCTTTTCAAGGGTGCACATCATTTCTATTCACACCCCATGGGCCAGACCTAGTCTTTGACCACACCAAACTACACGGGAGGCTGAGGGGTGGGGTCTTCAGCTGGGCAGCCAACTTAGTAGCTACTGATATGTGTCTGTTCTTCTCTTTCCAGGGGAGGACCCGCTGATCCCATAGACTATCTGACGGCAACACCTCGAGCGCTCTACAAGGAAAGGGAGCTCCCATATTACCCAGGGGCTCATCCCGTGCATCCTCCCAAGGGGAGCTACCCTCGCCCCCCGGATCTGAGGGTTGCAGACCTCCGGTATCCTCAGTATTACCCTCCTCCGCCAGCCCCCCAGCATAAAGGACCCTTCCGACAAGATGTCCCACCTTCCCCTCCTCAGCACCACAGAGTGCCAGCCTATCAGGAAATGGGTAGACCAGGGCCCCGCGGGGGCAGCCCAGACCAGTACCCCTACCGACCCCAGGATCCCAGGCAGAAGAACCCCATGACTGCCGCCGTGTAGCTGAATACCACCAAGCTCAGCCCAGCCCAGAAAGGGAGATGGGTGACATCACCTTTGCCCTTCCTAGATTTTCAGGCCTTCCTCCTGTTCAGAATTCTCCACGGTATAGATGGGTTTTTCTCACCGAGGTTGCAACACTGGACTGCTGACCAGAAGGGAAAAGGAGGGGACAGGAGGGCAGGGGTCGCAAGGAAGAGAGAGGACAGGGTCGTAAGGGCAGTACCGCCGGGGGTTTGAAGTGCGTTCGGAATAGTTCAGTTCGGGGAGAGTGGGCGGGCAAATAACCATGGAGGCACCGCACCTGGGGCCTCCCTGGTGCACACGAGCCTCATCGAATCGGCAGTGCGGAGGCCATCTCAGAGGCTCAGCCTCGGCCCCCTTACAAAAGCTGGTAAGTCTGAAGAGTGGCTGCAAATACGGGCATCTTAAATGAGTGGTTGTTGTCATTGAGAAAACAAAACAACAGCAAACATGAGTCGTGATCTCCTTGAAATGTTTATCCCCGGAGGAAGGCTGCGTTTCCCTATTTGCAGAATTTCTCAGGCTCCCGGTACCACTCATTTGGTATAAGTATTTTATATTTCTTCTTGCTTTTTATATATATAAAAAAATAAGGTATGAAAGCAGTATTAGTGTCCTGGGAGAATGTGCAAAGCCAGTCAGGGCTTCCAGAAGGAATATATTCTGAGGACCAGGTTGAGAGGCCCCAAAATCCCGTGGTCCTCACCTTCCTTCCCCGCAAACCCCAGGCACAACAGCACAGAGATAGCCAGTTTCAGAATCATCCCCAAGTCTCCTGCCTGTAATTATCATAACCGGGGCCTCTACGTTCAGGATCCCACTTGAGGGCTAAAATGTAGTTGGGAAAGAGAGGGCCCGCTGCTTAGGTCACCCGGGAAGCAATGCTCTGGAGATGCCAACTCACTGCTCAATCAGTGCCAGACAGTGCCATCTGCACTGGGGACAGGGAGGGGCTGACTGTGGCCCTTGGGGTTGATAACCAGGAGGCGGGAGGTGGCAGTGACTGACGTGTGTGTGTTTGTGCTTGCGCATGCAAGTGTGTGTGAAGGCATGTGATTACCGGCATGGAGAATGTAAGGTAAAAATGCTTTCGGAAAAGTTTGATGGGGAAGGCAATAAAAGGCGGGGGGCAGAATCAGAAGGAAAAGGAAAAGAGGCATAAAACCAGATCATTAATCTATCTGCTGTATTTCAGTAACAAAAATCAGGGCAACACCGAGGTCAGCATCTCCAACTGGAATAGAAGATCTTAGGGCTTTGAAAAGCTGACACCCCACCCTCCAAAACCCATCACGTCTCCTTTGAGTTTTGCAGTAATTTCCTACTTATTCCAGCAGGACTTCTAAAACGTCCAACCTGCCCCAAATGAGAACACAACAAAAGACTGAGGACCAGCAAAACAGCAAGCTTGAATTGTTCAGTGATGCTTAAGAGACTTTAAGCCTCTACTGCTCCTTCTCCATTCCCTCAGGGGGGGAAATAAATAAATAAAAGTCTTGAGTTCAATGTAGCTATATTTTGGCTGAGATTAGAATACCTCTGACTGACAGGGTTTAATAAATTATAATATTATGGAATATACAGGGTATCCGGCCCAGTTTAGTCGTTTATTTTTTTTTTTTTTAATTTAAAATACAGTTGCATTACCAGGAATGAAGCAACTGCTGGTTTTAGACATAAATACTTGTTATTTACTGGACTTTAAGAGGTATCATTTTCCAAACTACAATTTACTTATGGCCCTCTTAAAAATAGACTGTCAAGTTGGTTTTGGCCATCTGCCATCTCTCTTGAGCCAGCACCTTACACTGTTTGGCAGTTTGTGCAAGGAGGTTGACGGTCTTGCGCCCTGCTCACCCAGAGGTGAATGCAGGTGAGCTACGGGGCTTCTCTGCCAACATCCTGAATGACACTTTCCCCTCAGACTGAATAAACTTTCTGGAAGAAAATGGTGAAGTGAGGGAAATGCAAAGTGTTGGGGAGCATTAAAAATCAGCTCTTCGGTCTGTTGCATAGTTGAACCAAATTTCTCTAGGCTATTGGATGTAGCCGATCCAGAAGTCTCCTTTTGGATTGAGGCCAAGACCACATGAGGGTCAGCCAGAGGCAGTGCGAAAAGGTGAGATATTCTGTGCATGTCAGAGCAGGGGCTTTTGTAGGAAGAATGCCCATGTTTTCACCATGTTGCCACCTTGGGAGTACAATACCTCCAGCTTCCAGGCTCAGGGCAAGCTGCTCAAAACATGGGTTTGTGTTGTACACAAAGTCAATAAAACACTTGTTAATCCTGAGGGGGCAGCCAGGGATGCGAAGGTACTGTTAAAGTGGACGAAAAATAGATGATAGCAGTTTTTCTTTTCTTGCCTGAAGTATAACACATGCCCAATTTGACCCTGCCCAAAGGAAGCTACCTTGTGTGTGACAGAGGCTCTGTCAAGCCAAGCCACAATGAAGAGCAGTTCGAATGTAAGCTTTATAAATTCCTGTGTCCCAGCCCTCCACTGTCACCACCCAGAAGTTGCAGAACTCTTTCCCAGTCTCTAGGAGAACAGGTTGTTTAGAGTATTTAGAAGACCAGGCTGTAATCAGCAGGTGCCCAGTAGCAGGAAGTAGTTCCTGGTTGATTTATGGTCTTGGAAAGACTCAATCAGGTGTCTGCTTGTCACTCAGAATATAATAACCCCCGGAACAGAGTGACACAGTAAGCAGCAAACCCACCAACATACACCCACCTGGCTCCTGATCTGACCGCTGGGTCATTGGGGCCTTGAAATGACGTTTTGGCCTCGAGTCACTAGATATTTGATGGAGTTCTGTTTTATCCCTTTCTGCAGGAGGAGAAATAGGAAAGGGAGCAGACCACTGAAAACTTTGAGGTGCAGGAGAATCCAGTCCTCTGCCAGGGAGGGAAACACTGCATCTCGTTAACCCCATGCGCCATTGGACTATGGCAATATCACTCTTGGTAGAAAATTGTTTCCCCACAATATTAATCAATGGACGAAAGGCAATCCCAAAGACAGGAACATCTTCTTAAATCATAATTGAGTAACAAACAAAAATTGGAAAATAAAATTACCGCGAAGCTCGTCATTCTTAGATATGTAGGTCAACATGCATTGACCCCACAGGACAGCATGGAGCAAAGATCTTATAATCAAGAGTGTGATGAGACCCACAGACCCACTGTCACCCCATGGAGCAAACTGCCTGCTGCCCTATAAAGGAGGTGTGCAACTTCATTGTAGCTTTATTTGTGCCACCAACTAAATAAAATTAAAACATGATTCATTATTCCCTTTAAAGATTCGTGAACTAGTTGAACTATCTTCAGAAGGAAAGGTACCTGACAACATGCATAGAGTCTATATGCATAAGGATCCAGACTTTAAAGAGCATTTGTTCCCCTAACCTATAACCCCAGCATTTGCTTTCTTTGGAGAAACATCTTAGCCTTTTGGGGGGATGGAGAGGTCTGCAGAGTTTGGATAGGAATGTGTGTCTATAAAATTCCCATAGGCATTAAATTCTGAAATCTGCAATGAACCGCCTTCAAATTGGTGCTAAATTAGGTAGACACCCTACTGCTTTCTGAGTCCAGGAGCAACAAAAAGTCCAGATTTCGTGCAATTACGTGGGAGGGAGTTGAATCCAGAAACAGCCACAGGAGTATTTCTCTGCACTACCAGTTCGCACCGACTTAGTGGGAAATGATGCCACAATGAGACCAGAAAGAGGAGTCTCCATAAGGTATCCCTACAAAGTCACCTCTCTGAAAAAAAAAAGGAGAATAAAAGGTAGATATCTAAAATAAGCCTAGAATCTCATATGCAGCTACTACTTCTAAGGGAAACTCTTTTCTCCCTCATGTCCTTAAATAGTAATAGAATCACACAGCGCCTGACTTTTAAAGATGGGCTTAACTCCCCAGCCTGGAGTGCCGAGTGAACTAACCCCAAAGACTGTCTGCTGACTCAGCTCTGGGAGAGCGTTCTCTTCCCTCGATGCGGACTGCCGTGCTGTTTACTACTGGAACATAAAAACAAACGCCCACTGTTTATACAATCACTTTTTCTAGTGTTTTCCTGTGCTTTTATGACACCAAGTCTGTTCATAAGTTCTGAAGATAAATTATGTGAAATCATATTTTGGCATATGGGGGCGGAGAATGAATTCTTTACAGACTTTTTAGGATGATCCCATTTGTACCACAGAAAACATTTTGGATGTTGTTATATATGAATATATAAATTTTTCTCATTTTATTTTGCATTAAAATAAAGCTTTATTCAGTCAGTAAGACACCAGAGTGTTGGTTTTCACTCCCCACGTGTTTGTTTTAGGATGTGATGAATGAATAGGTTGGTCTGGTCCTGATCACCCTTGAACAGCAACGTCATAGGGACAGAGGACATGAGGAGAAAACATCTGTCACATGCCAGGCTCCCAAAAAACACGTGTAAGATGGAGATGAGAAAGCAGGCTGTTTGTTTGAGAGTGCACTTGGGCTCAGTACCCACAGAAGGCAGAGCAAGAAAGCAGGGCTGGGCAGAGGGAGAAGCTGAGCAGTAATGTGCTCCCAGCTTAGGCCTCAGCCAACTCCACAGGGAACCCTGGAGCTACAGTGGCCCTTCAGACTTGTCCCAACTTGGGACCAGGAAGCTGGGCCTTTATACCACTGTGTTGGTCAGTGGGTATTGGCTACCCCTGGGAAGGAGGTGGGACCCAGAACCAGGCAGTTCTCTTCAGGTGAGGCAATCCCCAAAGGGGCCTGACAGCTGGGGACGATCTTTGAGAGGTATTCACAGAGGTTAGGAATATTGTTCGTTCGTTCTTTTTTTTTTTTTCTTTCTTTTTGTAAGATTTATTTATTTGTGGGGCGCCTGGGTGGCTTAGTCATTAAGCGTCTGCCTTCGGCTCAGGTCGTGATCCCAGGGTCCTGGGGTCGAGCCCCGCATCAGGCTCCCTGCTCCGCGGGAAGCCTGCTTCTCCCTCTCCTACTCCCCCTGCTTGTGTTCCTGCTCTCGCTATCTGTCTCTCTGTCAAATAAATAAATA